TGGCATCCCATATGGGTGCTGGTTTGAGTCCTGGCTGCTCCACTTCTGATCCAGCTCTCTGCAGTAGAAGATGGCGCAAGAGCTTGGTCCCCTGAACTCACATGGGAGACCTGGAAGAAGCTGCTGGCTCCTGGCTTTGGATTGGCACAGCTCCAACTGTTGCGGCCAATTGGGGAGTGAACCAGCAGATGGAAGACCTCTCTCTCTCTCTGCCTCTCCTTCTCTCTCTGTGTAACTCTAACTTCCAAATAAAGAAATAAATCTGTAAAAAAAGAAACTAGATAGTAATGGAGCAAGGAAGTGAAAGATCTGTAAGCTGAAAACTGTAAAATCTTAATAGACAAATTGTAGAACAACAAATAAATATAAAGAAATCCCATGTTCATGGACTGGAAGGACTAATAGTGTTAAAATGTACATAATACTGGTCGGCACCGTGGCTCAATAGGCTAATCCTCCACCTGTGGCGCTGGCACACTGGGTTCTAGTCCCGGTTGGGGTGCTGGATTCTGTCCCGGTTGCCCCTCTTCCAGGCCAGCTCTCTGCTGTGGCCAGGGAGTGCAGTGGAGGATGGCCCAAGTCCTTGGGCCCTGCACATGCATGGGAGACCAGGAGAAGTACCTGGCTCCTGGCTTCGGATCAGCGTGGTGCGCTGGCTGCAGCGTGCCAGCCATGGTGGCCATTGGAGGGTGAACTACCGGCAAGGGAAGACCTTTCTCTCTGTCTCTCTCACTATCCACTCTGCCTGTCAAAAAAATGTACATAATACTGAAAGCCATAAAGTGATGTAGTGCAATCCTGACAAAATTCCTATGTCATTTTTCACAGAAGTAGAGAAGAACCAAGGTTACCAAGGCTGGGAGTTTGGAGACCCAGGGAGATATTGGTCAAAGGAATCAGAATTTCAGTTAGACAAGACCAGTGAGTTCAAGTAATGTCTTGCATGTCATAGGAAAACAGGGACACCATTTTGTCCACTTGCAAAGTGCTTAGTAGACTTTAAGTGCAGTCAACATATACAAATGAGAAGCATGTGAAGTAAAATACATGGTAAATACTTGGATGGAGCTAACTGCAATGTATATAGATATCAAATTGAATCATTTCCTTGGAAGCAAAATCTATACAATTTAAAGTAATCCATTAAAAACATGCAAGAAAATTCTGTTGAGGATGTTTTCTCTGAAAAGTGAGGGAAAATAAGTGTGATGAGGAAGTCAGTGTTTGGAGCAGAGCATAGTTCCTTTCATTTGTCACATGGAAACCATGTAATGCTGACGGGGCTTCCAGAATTTTGAATGGGGAGAGCATCAGTGAAGTGGGAAACTGGATTAATAGTGTGCAGAGGTACATGTGGGAGTGAACTTGTACCCTTTTCTGGATATGCCTACACATTTACAATCACGAAGCCCATTTTTTTGCAGACTTGAGAGTGATATTAGTTAGATACAGCACTGAAGAGACTGGGTGGGGAGCACAGAGTCATCAGTGATGAATATCAGCCCTTGACTTCTTTCCAGTGCATATGTGGAATGATGCAACTGGTTTTTTTGTTGATCCCAGCACCAACTCTTTCTGAAATTGCCAAACACACCAAGAAGTGCACTGGAGTAACAGTTAGCCCTTTGTGCACTGTCCAGTCATTCAGTGGTCCCCAGTGCCTTGTTGGACCATGATGAAATCACACAAGGAGGAGAGGAATGAGAGTCCAAAACATGTTTTTCAAATGTGTTTTCCCCCAGAATGGAGGGTGACAGGTGCAGGGCCCCAGGGCAGGGTGATCCCTTGAGTTCCTGTATGGGACACAGTGAAGCAATGAAAAGGTTGAGCTGCAAGTGCTGGGCTGATCACATGGACACCAAAGGCAATGTCTCACTGCATGTCTCACTTCCTTAGAAATGACTCCCTCTAGTTGCTAGTTGTGCCCCTTTCTGACTCACTAGATAGGCACACAGCAATACTGGGAATCAGCTGTGCCCTCTACAGAGAGCAGTTCTCTGCAGGGGATTGAGCCTGCCGACTCCTGCCAGCTCCTTGTTCCCCTGATCTCAGCTGATATTCAGGACTTTGTTTCTGCATTGTGAAAACCCTGGCAAGATGTTGTCTATGAGCCTTCTTTGCCTACTCTTGCATACTGTACACACTTCACAGGGCATGACTCACAGGGAATGCCATTTTTACCTTAAACCAAGTATCAACCAAGATGGAGACCTGCTTCTGGGTGGCTTTTTCCCTCTCTACTACCCAGGACAAGAAAGCGAATTGGCCCAAATGTCTTTTTTATTCAGACCCCAGTATAAAAGTTCTGTGTCTTGGTAAGTTCAAGATTGTGCATATGCATTAAGTGTGGTTATGATTGAATGTGAGTGTATGTCACTATGTCTGTGTTTAATCCTTTCTGAGAATGCTGGAAGGTATGCAGAAAGTGGCAGAAATGCCAATAAAGAAGGGCACAGATTCCCTCCCTTTTTGTTCCTTCCATGCCTTCCTATTCATTTTTCTATTTGCTTCTTAGTCCTTCAGGGACAGAGCAGTGACATCAACATCTCTGTGCCCACTCCATTGTCTTAGATCTCTCAGAAGCAGCCCTGAGCATCTTGGAATGAGTCATAATGTTGGGACTCCAGATCCCATCCTACCTGCTTGCATGGAGTGAGCACAGGTGTCCTGAGACACTGAGACCCTGGTCTGGGGTCAACGTTAGGATTAAGGGATCACTCTGAGTGTCAGTGCTGACAAGAGCATTGTTGAAATGTACCCGATAGTGAGTCCATGTGTGTCAGAGATGTGCCAGCATAACAGATAGTGTCTCACCACTTGTCAATAACTGAGCCCCAACAGACTGCAGGCATTAAGTCCCTGAAAGTCATAAGGAGAAAGGGGTTTATCTTTTGCAGTTCTTTTGCTTGGATCCTGAAGATACTTCTTCAGGAACCACACAGAAACTTCATTAATTCTGGGCTTGACGCACCTGAGCAGCATGTGTTTTAGTAACTGTTAACATTAATGTGTGGTGAGGATTAGAAACAGACATCCTGTCTCTGCACCCTTGGTGGTGGTGACAGTGGAGTGTGCTTCTGACTCACTGCAGAGAACCATATGCTCATGTGTTCAGAAGAGGGTGAGGCGGAGAGATGTTGGTTTAAATGGTGTGTGTTGGTGCTTGTCAGTGCCTTTTGGAATTTAATGCTTATCAGTTCAGCAGGTTGCCAAGCACTGGGGGCAATTGATAATGGGGCTGGTGACCTTTGAGGCACAGTGTTAGTGTGTGCTCTCTCCTAGTCTGTGTTTTCACAGTGTTCTGTCCCTTCTCAAAGTTTCATTGAATTTGTCTGTTTTTAATTTGTATATGATTAGCCAAGATGCCTAATAGGACATTTATGGTAAACATTTTAAGCATGTGAATCTTCTGGTTGTGTGGCAGCTACTGATTGTACTCTGTCTGATATAGGGAGATAGGATGTGATTATCTGAAAGTGAGTTAATCTCTCATCTCAGGGATGCTGTGTGGGAGACAGGGAGGATCTGCCTTGTTGTAATCTTAGGGTGAAAGGTTTTAGATCATGCCATGAAGAGGAGGCCAGGCTTTGCTCTCTGCCTTCTCTTCTCCAGGTAGAAAGTGTCTGGCCACCCTTTTTTGTACAGACCTGCCAGCCCTCTTGTGCTTGTCACAGTCTAAAATTGCATATGCGTATCTCGTTGATGGGCTCAGATGATTGATTCTTTCTGGAGTTTGACTTCAAGCTCCAGCTTCAATACAGGGAAATAACTTCCCTACAGCTGATGGAAGATATGTTGTTATTTGCCTAACAGAAGTTATTTTATATGCATATCCCACACTTGTTTACCCAGTATTTGGTCTTTGACTGGGCATTCATTTTGTGTGACTGTAATACTCTAATGATAATTTTTATTTAATAAACTGCATATTTCTCTGAGATGATGGGGATACATCACTGAATAATGAGATAAGGTCTTTTATCAAGATTTAAAAAATATTTACCAAATCATTGCTGATAAAACTGTAGATGTTCGTCACCCACTCACAAATCCCCATAGTCCTTTTCAGTGTCTCCACATCCTTCATTCTTTCTCTCCTGCATACCACTCATTTGTCTTGTGTCTGTAAGGATCAGCCTGTTATGGTCACTTCATGTGAATTGATTCATATCCTTTGTGGTCTGTTGTGACTGACATCTTGCAGTGCACCATGTTTTCCTGTTTTATCCATGTTGTGGCTTGCAGCATCATTTAGTATACTTTTCTCAAAATATCTTAATATCTAAGTCTGCCTTGGTGTCAGCCACTCCTGTTTACTCAAAATTATACCTCTGCATGCCAGGTCCTGTACTTAACAACTGACAACTTTGCCTTCACAAAAAAGGAATTAAACTAGTCAACTTTCAGCTGATAGGAAGTGATCTAAATAACCCAGGGTGAATGCAGTATGCCCTTCACAATGAAACATTATACTACGAAAGCCAAATGTTTAAAAGAAAAAAAGTTTATTCAGTGGTTTTAATTTTTTTATTCAGATAAATAGAGCTAAGCTATGGACACATGCCAGGAACACTATTTATTTGCCAGGTCAACTTCATTGTTAACAAGTAAGTCCTCTATATGATCTGAAAACTTCCTTGGATTAAATGTGTATAGAAGGGTGATTTTTACCTAGAAGACAAAATTAAATTTCAAACTGCACATATAAGAACAACATGTACAACACTGTTTGACACAATGGAGAAATACCTTTCAACTATAAGTAAAGCACTGCCAATTACAAACTGTATGAATATATATTGTAATATTGAGGAAAAGGTCAAATTCTTAGTTAAGCCCCAAATAGAAACATATCCAAGTGCAAAGAACTAAAGGAATGACTGGATAAATATATTAGTCTCATGTAACTTATTACCAGAAAGGATATTTCTTAGCATGCATTCAAATTATGGAAGAAATGTAATAAATTAGAAAAATCCAGAATTCCAAAGGAATGCATAATGAGGTAATAGAACATATACCCTTTTAGGTATGTAAAACAGGAAAGCTCTTCTTAAATTCTAAGAAATCAAATTTTCACTTAAGATACATTGAAAAATGGAAAGAACATGCAAATATAAAATATGAAATGATAATTCAATACAGAGAAAAATGAAAACCAAGTGAACATCTCCAATTATCCAACAGAGTTTATGAATAAGTCCTTACGTTTTAAAGAAAACAAAAAGTTAAAGCTGACTTGAACAGAGTGAAATATTGTATTAGGAAATTATAGCAAGGACAGGGGTCAAATGGCTCAGGTGGACCTAGCTGAGGAGGAGAAAGTTCTAAAATTTGGGACAACTGATGAGTCAGGTGGAATTCAGCCTACTCCAGAAATTACTGAAAACAGAAATGCTTGCTCCTGGGTGTTGTCCTTAAGTTGGGACACATCGAGGCTTTCCTAAAGGGTTCCTGAAGGTGAGTGTGAGAACAGACATGGTTGATTTCAGAGGAGTTCAAGGGCCATTCCACAATCTTCTAGAGCACTTGGAACCTCACTCACACCTCCTCCTTTTGCCAGAGCTGAGGCACCACTGAGTGGAAGCCTGAGTCTGATCATTGCTGCCTCAGGGTATGGCTGTGTTGTTGCTCTGAATTCCATAGTCTCAGCCTTCTTCCTGGTGCTACTCCTCTCTAGGTGGCTGTGGAAGAACTACCAATATGTGCTGGCCTTCCGCTTTGCCATCCAGGAGATCAATAAGGACTCCCAGCTACTCCCCAACCTGACCCTCGGTTTCAAATTCTACAATGCCTTTGCCAGTGAACAGTACACCTTATTGAGCATAGTGTATTGGTTGTTTGGGGCCACTATAGCTTTACCTAACTACACTTGCCATACACAAGGCAGACATGTTGCCATCATTGCTGGAACCACATCAGCATTGTCTGTTGAATTTGGAACGCTTTTGGAGCTCTACAAAACCCCACAGGTAATTGAGTTGTGAATCTGGAGGACAATAGTTGAATCTCCTCCAACACTATTCTCTCACCTCTGAAGAAAGGGAAATGGGGCATCTCCCTGTGGTATAAGACTGACCCCATGGGAATTCCTGGGGTGATTAATAGTGGAGGGAGAAGAAACAAAAGGAAGTAGCAGGGAATGCTGAGAGCCTCCCCCCAGATGACTGTCTAGGGCCTGTGTATCCATCCCCCACCAGCTGGAGACATTGGCAAATACAGCTCCATACTGCATCAGAAATGTCCACAGCACACAGAGGTATCCTGTCCTAGTGCAGCACTGTCTCGGGAGGGATCCAGAGACCAAGCAATATTAGATGTTAAGATATGAAGTCCTGCTCATATGGTTTCTGTTTGGGGAAATCTGATGGCTATGTGAGTTCCAAAGATTTCCAAGGCAGGTTTTTTTTTTTTTTCTCTGTAACTCTGACTTTCTTTTTTTTTATCTTTTATTTAATGAATATAAATTTCCAAAGTACGACTCATGTGTTACAATGGCTTCCCCCCCATACCGTCCCTCCCACCCACAACCCTCCCCTTTCCCACTCCCTCTCCCCTTCCATTCACATCAAGATTCATTTTCGATTATCTTAATATACAGAAGATCAGCTTAGTATACCTTAAATAAGTATTTCAACAGTTTGATCCCACACAGAAACATAAAGTGAAAAATAATAGATGATTTTTTTTAAATGATGATGAAATCAGATCAGACCTATTGTCATGTTTAATCCCAGTGAGAGTCAAGTTGGGATTTAAATTTTTTTTTTTTTTTTTACAGAAGATCAGTTTGGTGTACATTAAGTAAAGATTTCAATCGTTTGCACCCCCATAGAAACACAAAGTGAAATATACTGTTTGAGTACTCGTTATAGCATTAAGCCTCAGTGTACAGCACATTAAGGACAGAGATCCTGCATGAGGAGTAAGTGCACAGTGACTCCTGTTGTTGACTTTACAAATTGACACTCCTGTTTATGGCATCAGTAATCTCCCTATGCACCAGTTATGAGTTTCCAAGGCTATGGAAGCCCCTTGAGTTCTCCGACTCTTATCTTGTTTAGACACGGTCATAGTCAAAGTGGAGGTTCTCTCCTCCCTTCAGAGAAAGGCACCTCCCTCTTTGAAGACCTGTTCTTTCCACTGGGATCTCACTCACAGAGATCTTTTTGCCAGAGTGTCTTGCCTTTCCATGCCTGAAATACTCTCATGGGCTTTTCAGCCAGATCCGAGTGCTCCAAGGCAGGTTTTTAAAATGATTGATTTATTTGAAAGCACAGCAGAATTGGGAAAGTTACACCCCCCACCCCCTGAAATGGAGAGGGAGAGAGGGGCGGAAGGGAGAGAGAGCTTCTATTCAAAGGTTTATTCCATAAATGCCTACAATAGCCAGATCTGATCAGGCAGAAACCAGGAGCTAGGAACTGAATGCAGATCTCACACTTAAGTGGCTGTGGTCAAGCACTTGTATCATGTTCTGCTGCCTTTTCAGGCATGTTTGCAGGAAGGTAGATAAGAAGTGGTGTAGCCAAGCCTTGAACTGGATGGAGTTCTGAAATGGGATGCTGGTGTTACAAGTTGGAACTTAACTCATCTGACCCAAACTGGCTACACCCAGAATGTTGAGGCTCAATTCAAGTTAGAATAGAATTCACCTAATCCCTGTGCCCAATCATCCCTTTTTCCCAGGCACACAGATTGATTTCTTCACAGCATTCTCAGTGATAGTTCTGCTTACTAGTCCTCATGTCAGAGTGTTTTTCTTGCTGTTTTTATTTGAGGGCCAGAGAAACACACACACACATAGACACACACACACATAGACACACACACACACACAAATACACAGAATTCCCATCTGCTGGTTCACTCACCAATACCTCCCATGATGTTGGACTACACCTGCCATAGCAGATGCATAGAGCCAGGAATGAAACCCCATATGAATGTAATAAATCCAATTATTTGAGCTATAATTATTGTCTCCCAGATCTGCACTAGCAACTTAGAGATACTTCACCAGGGACCTGCCACACAAGCAAAAATCAGGACGTGTACCTGCCAAACATAGGCCACATGGTGATCAGAGGATTCTGGTTTGGAAAAATTATTTTGCCCCAAATCAAAGAAGGTTGGTGATTGTATCCTTGGAGACAACGCAGGATTCCTGTGGTAATCAGTGCACTCCAGATACAAAGAGATCAACACAGTAGAGATTTCTGTCTCAGAGTTATCTACAATGGTGGCTGCTGGAGGAGGTGGCTCTGCTCCACCAGTCACCCTGGGCAAGGATGGGGAAAGACCACTGGCTGGGTGAAGCAGCATCCAAAGTTCCTTCTTCCTCAGTCCCCACTGCAAGACACGAAGCAACTGACAGAACTCTCATACAGAAAGTGACAGATTTTCTTTAAAGCTACCAACGAGGAGTTACATTTATTAACCTAAAGCAATGGGCATGTGAAGCATGGTCTTCTCTGTGGCCAAGATAGCAGGATTTGTCCATTCCTGCCATGCACTTTGTCTTTACTCAGTAGCATACTGCAGAAGGAATCCCTTGTTTAGAATTTTTTTCACTCGCTTCCAAGAGTGAGAACCCAAATCCCACAAAAGTTTGATTGTGTTTTTCTTTGCTTTTAGCTCACCTATGGCCCTTTTGATCCCATGCTAAATGATAAGGACCAGTTTCCCTCACTCTATCAGATGGCCAGCAGTGACAGCTCTTTGGGCCATGGAATGATCTCCTTGTTGCTGCATTTTGGCTGGACTTGGGTGGCTCTCTTTGTGTCTGATGACATGAAGGGAGAGCAGTTCCTTCAGTACTTTGAAGCAGCGATGCTCAAGAAAAGTGTCTGTGTGGCCTTTACAGTGAAGCTCCCTGTCACAAAGAAGTTGTATGCGGATAGTGATCTCACTTTCATGAGTAGCATCAGAGTTTCATCTGCAAATGTGCATATACTCTATGGTGATGTAAGAGGTCTCATCAGTGTGGACATTTCAGTGCAGTCATTTTTAACCATGGGGAAAGTGTGGATCATGACATCAAAGTGGGATCTTATCATTTCTGAGACAAACCACATGCTGCACTCTTTTCATGGAGGCTTCTCATTTTCACCCTACAAGGAAGAAATCCCTGGCCTCAAACTTTTTGTCAAGACGGCAAAGCCTTCCCACTACCCAGAAGACTTTTACTTCAGTAAATTATGGCTTTTTCATCTGGGCTGCTCACTTGAAGGATCATTTTGTGGACATATTGGAACCTGCTCACCAAATACTTCCTTAGAGTTTCTTCCAGGACATATTGACCTGTTGACCATATCTGACTCCAGCTATTTAGTCTACAATGCTGTCTACACAGTGGCCCACGTCCTCCATAAAATGATTTTGGAGAAAGTAGAAATGGGATCTCCAGGAGAAGCAGCCCATCCTATGATTCTTCCTTGGCAGGTAAAGCTCCCCTAGAACAGAACAGACACTGGCTACTTGATGGAATCTAGAGATGTTTTATTGAGGTACAGCATCATGACCCTGCTCTCATCTTAAGGTCAGCAGGATTACAATGGAAATTTTTTTTTAAAATTTATTTCTTTATTTGAGTGGTAGAGTTACAGAGAGAGGGAGAGACAGAGAGAAAGGCCTTCCATCTGCTGGTTCCCTTCGCAAATAACTGCAGTGGCTGGAGCTGGGCTGATCGAAGCCAGGTGCCTGGATCTTCTTCTGGGTCTCCCACATGGGTTCAGGGGCCCAAGCACGTGGACCTGGAAGCTGGGATCTTTCCATTGGATACTGCTATATCTGTGATTGTTGACTTTGGCTGGAGTTTTCAGTCATTGCCGATTTTGAATGTATACTATTAGAAATTGTATCAGAAAATAGTATTTTTTACTTTGCATAACTCTTTCATTTATTTATTTAAAGGGCACAGATTTCATGTATTTATATGTCAATTTAAGAAAATAACAATACTTCCCACCCCTTCTCCCTCACTCCCACCCTTCATCCTCATCCTTTTATATTTCTTTTAATTTTTATGATAACATACTTTCAGCTTACTTTATAATCATATGCTTAAACCTCTACTATATAAGGAATTTAACAAGTAGTAAGTAGATCACTTACTCTGGCATATAGTCTACATGGGCTATAAATAATAATCAAATCTCAAGATATCTATTTCACTGATTTATGTTTATATTTAAAGATGCATACAGACAATAAGTAAAATGAACATGTAATCAGGTCTGTACTATGAAGTTCAGTCTCTGAACATTTTTTAGTTAATAATTCTCTTCTTTTTTAAACTTTTATTTAGTAAATATAAATTTCCAAAGTACAGTTTATGGATTACAATGGCCCCCCCCAACTTTCCTCCCACTCGCACCCCTCCCATCTCCTGCTCCTTCTCCCATTCCATTCACGTCAAGATTCATTATCAATTATCTTTATATACAGAAGATTGATTTAGTATATATTAAGTAAAGATTTCATCAGTTTGCACCCACACAGAAACACAAAGTGTAAAATACTGTTTCAGTACTAGTTATAGCATTACTTCACATTGGAGAACACATTAAGGACAGATCCCACATGAGGAGTAAGTACACAGTGACTCCTGTTGTTGACTTAACAATTTGACACTCTTGTTTATGGCGTCAGTAATCTCCCTAGGCTCTAGTCATGAGTTGCCAAGGCGATGGAAGCCTTTTGAGTTTGCTGACTTTGATCTTATTCACACAGGGTCAAAGTGGAGGTTCTCTCCTCCCTTCAGAGAAAGGTACCTCCTTCTTTGATGGCCCTGTTCTTTCCACTGGGATCTCACTCACAGAGATCTTTCATTTAGGTTTTTTTTTTTTTTTGCCAGAGTGTCTTGGCTTTCCATGCCTAAAATACTCTCATGGGCTTTTCAGCCAGATCCAAATGCCTTCAGGGCTGAATCTGAGGCCAGAGTGCTACTTAGGAAATCTGCCATTCTATGAGTCTGCTGTGTATCTAGCTTCCTTTGTTGGATTGTTCTCTCCCTTTTTGATTCTGTCAGTTAGTATCAGCAGACACTAGTCTTGTTTGTGTAATCCCTTTGATCCTTAGACCTATCAGTGTGATCAATTGTAAAATGAAATGGATCACTTGGAGTAGTGTAATGGCATTGGTACATGCCACCTTGATGGGATTGTATTGGAATCCCCTGGCACATTTCTGACTCCACCATTTGGGGCAAGTCAGCTTGAGCATGTCCCAAATTGTATATCTCCTCCCTCTCTTATTCCCACTCCTATATTTAACAGGGATCACTTTTCAGTTAACTTTAAACAATTAAGAATAATTGTGTGTTAATTACAGAGTTCAACCAATAGTACTAGAACAAAAGAAATACTAAAAGGGATAAAGTATTACATTGTACTTCAACAGTCAGGACAAGGGCTGATCAAGTCATTGTTTCTCATAGTGTCCATTTTACTTCAACAGGTTTCCCCTTTGGTGCTCAGTTAGTTGTCACCGATTAGGGAGAATATATGATATTTGTCCCTTTGGGACTGGCTTAATTCACTCAGCATAATTTTTTTCAGATTCCTTCATTTTGTTGCAAACTACTGGATTTCATTGTTTTTGACTGCTGTATAGTATTCTATAGAGTACGTGTCCCATAATTTCTTTTCTTTTCTTTTTTTTTTTTATCTTTTATTTAATGAATATAAATTTCCAAAGTACGACTCATGGGTTACAATGGCTTCCCCCCCCATACCGTCCCTCCCACCCACAACCCTCCCCTTTCCCACTCCCTCTCCCCTTCCATTCACATCAAGATTCATTTTCCATTATCTTAATATACAGAAGATCAGCTTAGTATACCTTAAGTAAGGATTTCAACAGTTTGCTCCCACACAGAAACATAAAGTGAAAAATAATAGATGATTTTTTTTTTAAATGATGATGAAATCAGATCAGACCTATTGTCATGTTTAATCCCAGTGAGAGTCAAGTTGGGAATTGATAATTTCTTTCTTTCTTTCTTTTTTTTACAGAAGATCAGTTTAGTGTACATTAAGTAAAGATTTCAATCGTTTGCACCCCCATAGAAACAGTCTACTGTGGATGGGCATTTAGGTTGATTCCAGGTCTTAGCTATTGTGAATTGAGCTGCAATAAACATTAAGGTGCAGACAGCTTGTTTGTTTGCCAATTTAATTTTCTCTGGGTAAATTCCAAGTAGTGGGATGGCTGGGTTGAATGGTAGGATTATCTTCAGGTTTCTGAGGAATCTCCAGACTGACTTCCATAGTGACTTAACCAGTTTGCATTCCCACCAACAGTGGGTTAGTGTCCCTTTTTCCCCACATCCTTGCCAGAATCTGTTGTTGGTAGATTTCTGAATGTGAGCCATTCTAACCGGGGTGAGGTAAAACCTCATTGTGGTTTTCATTTGCATTTCCCTGATTGCTAGTGATCTTGAACTTTTTTTTTTTTTTGACAGGCGGAGTGTACAGTGAGAGAAAGAGAGAGACAGAGAGAAAGGTCTTCCTTTTGCCGTTGGTTCACCCTCCAATGGCCGCCGCGGCCGGCGCGCTGCGGCCGGCGCACCGCACTGATCCGATGGCAGGAGCCAGGAGCCAGGTGCTTTTCCTGGTCTCCCATGGGGTGCAGGGCCCAAGTACTCGGGCCATCCTCCACTGCACTCCCTTGCCACAGCAGAGAGCTGGCCTGGAAGAGGGGCAACTGGGAGAGAATCCGGCGCCCGGACCAGAACTAGAACCCGGTGTGCTGGCGCCGCTAGGCGGAGGATTAGCCTAGTGAGCTCTGGCGCCGGTGATCTTGAACATTTTTTCATGTGCCTGTTGGCCATTTGGATTTCCTCTTTTGAAAAATGTCTATTGAGGTCCTTGGCCCATCTCTTAAGTGGGTTGTTTGTTTTGATGTTGTGGAGTTTCTTGATTTCTTTGTAGATTCTGGTTATCAACCCTTTATCAGTTGCATAGTTTGCCAGTATTTTTTCCCATTCTGTTGGTTTCCTCTTCATTCTCCTGACTGTTTCTTTTGCAGTACAGAAACTTCTCAATTTGATGCAATCCCAAATGTTAACTTTGGCTTTGACTGCCTGTGCTTCTTGGGTCTTTTCAATGAAATCTTTGCTGGTGCCAATATCTTGCAGGTTTTTTCCAATGCTCTCTAATAATTTGATGGTGTCAGGTCGTAGATTTAAGTCTTTAATCCATGTTGAGTGGATTTTTGTGTAAGGTGAAAGGTAGGGGTCTTGCTTCATTCTTCTGCACGTGGAAATCCAATTTTCCCCGCAGCAGTTATTGAATGGATTGTCCTTACTCCAGGGAGTGGTTTTGGAATCCTTGATCAAATATAGGTTGGCTGTAGATGTTTGGATTGATTTCTCGTGTTTCAATTCTGTTCCATTGGTCTATCCATCTGTTTCTGTAACCAGTACCATGCTGTTTTGATTACAGCTGCCCTGTAGTATGTCCTGAAATCTGCTATTGTGATGCCTCTGGATTTGTTTTTGTCGTACAAGATGGCTTTAGCTATTCGAGGTCTCCTGTGTCTCCATATGAATTTCAGCATCATTTTTTCAGATCTGAGAAGAAAGTCTTCAGTATTTTGATTGGTATTGCATTGAATCTTTTAAATTGCTTTTGGGAGAATGGACATTTTGATGATACTGATTCTTCCAATCCATGAGCATGGGAGATTTTTCCATTTTTTGGTATCCTCTTCTATTTCTTTCTTTCTTTCTTTTTTTTTTTTTGACAGGCCGAGTAGACAGTGAGAGCGAGAGACAGAGAGAAAGGTCTTCCTTTGCCGTTGGTTCAACTTCCAATGGCCGCCACGGCTGGCGGGCTGTTGCCGGCGCACCACACTGATCCGATGGCAGGAGCCTGGTACTTATCCTGATCTCCCATGGGGTGCATGGCCCAAGTACTTGGGCCATCCTCCACTGCATTCCCTGGCCACAGCAGAGAGCTGGCCTGGAAGAGGGGCAACTGGGAGAGAATCCGGCGCCCCGACCAGGACTAGAACCCGGTGTGCCGGCGCGGCAAGGTGGAGGATTAGCCTATTGAACTGCGGTGCCAGCCCTATTTCTTTCTTTGAGGTTTTGTAATTTTCATCGTAGAGATCTTTAATGTCCTTAGTTAAATTTATTCCAAGGTATTTGATTGTTTTTGTAGTTATTGTGACTGGGATTGATCTTAGCAGTTCTTTCTCAACCGTGGCATTGCCTGTGTATACAAAGGCTGTTGATTTTTGTGCATTGATTTTATATCCTGCTACTTTGCCAAACTCTTCTATGAGTTACAGTAGTCTCTTAGTAGAGTTCTTTGGATCCCCTAAATAAATAATCATATCATCTGTGGAATTGGACAGGAACACACTGATAGTCTGGGAAGAGGCAGTTTAATAAAAGTGGAGATACTGCAGGTTCAAGGAAGAGTAGGGGAAGAAAC